ATCCTGACTCAATCTACTATTTTTTCCAAACAAAACAAGCTTCAGAGTTTGCTGAAGAGGTTCGAACTCTAGAAAATGAGTCAGGCACTAAAATCCTACAGGTCCAAGAAGAGAGTTGTGTTAATTAATGCCACCCCTTCATTATATATACGCATTTGATAAAATTTTCGTCTTATTTGTATGACATCTAGTAAATTTTGATAAAGTTTTGCTACGTGACACCGTTTCGTTATACGTGCATCCGTCCCCGCAAACACTACACGTAACTACACACAATCACGATCCTTATCCATTTTCGCCTAGCACATTCTTATATATATATATATATATATATATATATATATATATATAAATTTATTATCATCATAAATGAAATAGTTATTCCAATTTTTTTCTAAATCATAACTTTTCAATTCTGTTTCAACTCTACATTGATTACAAAAGATAACTTTTACTAATAGAGTATCACTTATTCTTCTTTTTTGCGAAAAGAAAAATATTATTAATCACCACCAACAAATACATATGTCAGTGTGTCAGTGGTTTGGTTCGGCAAGTTATTTTATAAAACTTGTATCATATTAATTTTTTGATTATTTTATTATGTATAATAAAAATTAGACTTTTTAAAACCGTCTTGATCATGTCGGTTTCTCTTCGGTATCGGTATTTTTCGGTTAATTTTTGGTATTATATTACAATATTATGTAAAAGTAACTATTAAAAGTAGAATGCAATATCATACGTTCTTTTATAGGACTTAGCAAAACTTTCTGGTCATTTTTAATGTTTAAAGTGTGATAAATTAAGAAAACATGCATGAAAGATGGTAGAGTATAGATCCATCAATTATTCTACAATAACGTAAAAGAAATTGTCACGACCAAAATCCACTATAGGCCGCGATGGCGCCCAACGACGCCGTTAGGCAAGCCAACGGTGAACCATCGAAATAACTATTCATTTTATTACTTTTGAAATCATAAATTTTATTAAATAAAGAATTAATGCATTTAAAATCATGGATACATACAATTTTAGTAAGATATAAAATAAAAAGTGACAATATTAATGAAAAACCATTAACATCTACTAGAATATCCCAAAACCTTGTGTCACAAGTACATGAGCATCTACTAGGAAGTACAATAATAATACAACATCTGTCTAGAATGTATAATAGACATGATAACATAAATGAACATGATGGAGATTCCGTGTGTTGCGGATCTTATAATGGGATGCAACTCACCTTAAAATCCTCTCAATAGTTGCGCCCTTGTGCACAAATGAACATCAGAAATATACCTGCACAATAAGTGGAGTAGTGTAGCACGAGTACGGAAATCAACGCGTACCTAGTAAGTGTCTAGCCTAACCCGAAGGAGTAGCAACGAGGGATCGACATTGACACTTACTAGTGGTCCAATAGATCAAATATATTAAAGTAGACAAGTATGAAACATGGTAAGTAAACAGTGAGAATAGATATAGGCAAATAATACGATCTAAGACTGAACAGTGAACACAAAGTCCTCAAATACCGGATAACTCCTCAAATGGAATACGTAATGGTCAACACCAAATCAACTATCACATCTCGAGTCAAGAAAATTCATGAGACGCGGACTCCTTATCAAGTATTTCGCACGATTCTGCCGAGGCGAGCGACCCGATCCTTCAAGAGTAAAGGCACGATTCCTGCCGTGGTGTATGGCCGATCCCATAATAGTACCGCTAAGGCGTTCAGCCTGATCCTATAATCGTGTACACTACCGAGGGTCGACCGGCACGAACCATAGATACATCTCATAATATTGCCAAAAAGAACGGCGCGATCCCATAATGATACTGCTGAGGCGATCAGCCCAATACCATAGGAATAGTGAAGACTTATCGGGTCACTGGCCCCACTCACGAATATACGTGTGAGTTGTGAAATTCAAGAAAACTTTCGGACAAATATATACAACACGGGAGAAATCCGTAATAGGAAGTGAAATCTCTGCTGCTAATCAAATAGCTTTCCATATACAACGAATCGTAAGTTCGACAATTTATGCGTAGCTCGAGCAAAAGGCATATTAAAGCAACTAAACATGTAAGAATAACTCAATTATTATAATTAAAAGATAGAGCGAGTCTAAGTCTACCTGAACCTAATCATGAATTCTAGCATATTCACGGACACTCGTCAGTTCATACATCATAGACCCCGCAACATGTAGCACATAGCAAATATAACATCTATAGGATAAATTTCTCCCTCACAATGCTAGACAGGAGACTTACCTGGCTCCAAAGTTCCACAACTGATCTAACGCCTCTCTAACACCTCAAACCGATGCCCATCGATCCAAACTAGTTAAACAACATGCCGAACCAATAAAAATATACCCCAACACTCATAATTAGTCAATTTATAACAATTCTCAACTCCGCTCAAAAAGTCAACAAAGTCAACCACCGGGCCCACATGCCCGGATTCCAATAATTATAAAAAGTAAATGTTACCCATAATTTATATAGTCTATATCCAGAAAATTATCCAATTTTGTCCATGAAATGACCTTCCAATCAAGGATTTATCATTTCTCAACTTTGGGGATAAAAATCCTAATTTCTACTATTCAAACACGGATAAAAATAATAACCAACAAAAATGATCATGAAAAAATATACAAAATAAAGGTTATATATTTACCCCCTTATTGAGACGAGAACAACAGCACAAAAATCACCTCAAACGGAGCTCTAGAACTCAAGATCTGGTCAAAATATTAAAATGCTCGGTCTGCCCATTTAAAATACTGCCCAGGTGATTTTTGTTCTTCGCCTTTGCAGGGCATCTTCGTGTTCGCAAAGAGAATATTTTTTTGTTGACCGGTCAACTCAGAATTCCTTCTTCGCTTTTGCGGGACCACTCTCGTATTCGTGAAGAACAAAGGTTCTGCACTAGAAACCAGCAATTTTTCCGACACGAAAATATACATAATTCTCTCATATAACCTCGAAATTAGATGATTCTTGTTGCTAAGGTTTTGTAATTACGATGCGGATCTAATGGTACAATATAATCACAAATCAAAGGTTGTTTTCTCAATATGGTACCCTTTATGCCCAAAGAAAGGATGTTGAAACATCAAATGCCAAACACATCGGAAACACACTTGAGGCCCACGGGACCCCGTCCAATCACACCAACCAGTCCCAAAATATAACATGAACCTACTAAAGGTATTAAATCACACCAAACAACATCAAAACTATGAATCACACATCAATTCAAACCTAATGAACTTATAAACTTCTAAAACTCATGTCGAACCATCCCAAATCAACCCGGAATGACCACAAATTTTGCATGCAAGTTCCAAATGATACAACGGACCTATACCAATTCTCGGATTTAAAATTCAAACCCAATATTAATAAAGTCAACTCTCGGTCAAACCTATTAACCTTCCAAACCTTCAATCTTCCAACTTTCGCCAAAAAGTATCATATCAACCTTCGGACCTCCAAATCCAAATCTGGATATACGCCTAAGTACAAAATTACCATCCGGACCTAACAGAACCGTCAAAACTCCGATCCAAGGTCGTACTCAAAAGTCAAACCTTGATTAACTCTTTCAACTTAAAGCTTCTGAATAGAGAATTATTCTTCCAAATCAACTCCGAACTTCTCGAAAATCGAAACCCACCACTCGTAAAAGTCATAATACATGAAGTGAAGCTACTCAAGGTCTCAAACCACGAAACGGCATGCTAGAGTCCAAAACGACCGGTTGAATCGTTATAGAAACTAAGTAAATACAAAGGAAATATAAATCACATGAGTGAAAAGATATTAACGAAGCCGAGACTCATGAATAAAGTCAATAGAAGATTAAATATTCAAAAAGATAGTTCGAAATGATACAAAAGGAAATATATTCAATACTTGTAGTTTGCTACTCATAATCGCTACAATATCTTGTGTCTTACTTATGCTAAAAATAATTTAGTTTCAATAGGAGTAGCATAATAGGTTGTAGGAATGAGGATTTTGAGTTTAATTACTTGTTGGCTTGTAACTGTTCTCATAATTTCAAGGCCCAAGGAAAAATTTAATGTTTTATTATTTCTAAACTTAATATATAAATATATATTTTACATGTAAATTATTCGGTACGGTTTGATTTTTTTTATTTTCATAAAATAAAAGACCTATCATAATTATTGATACGGTTATATATTTATATAAAAACTTACGATTTTATTTTAAAAAACCTAAAAATCGGTTCGGTATGGTACGATTCGATCGATTTAATCAGTTTTTAAATATTCATTGACACCCCGATGTATAGCCATCTATCTATTTTATATCTTAGAAATTAGAACAAGAAGAAAAAACCATTCATTTTACAATTGTTGATTATAAAAGAAAGCAGGAGAAACTGGGCCGGGCAAATTCATTGTATTGTGACGCTTCCACTATCCAATAACTATATATAACATATTAATTGTGCGAGCAAATAATTAAGAAAAGGAAAAGTAAAAGGACTGATCAGGCCAAACTTGTCTAGGGGTGCTTATCAGGCGGATCGGACGGATAATTACGCTTAACGGTCCGACTTATCGATTATTTGATTATTAATGTAGTAATCCGCTAGCCGTCTAATAAGACAACGAGCGGATTGGTATCGAATTAACGATTATCGGGCAGTTTATCGGCTAAACTAAATTAGAAAATTTTTGAACAATCTTAGTCTTGTGAATACGAAACGGCCAAACCTGATAAAGTGATTCGACTCCCTCGTTAATATGTACTGCACTTTAGTTTACTAGGCTTGTTAACATAGAATATGTTAACACTTTATAGTTTGTACTGCACTAATGCCCTTATTATAAGTATTTCTTTTGGTTGCATAGCTAACTTTTTCATGTCAAAAAAAGGAAAGACTGAAAACTGGTCAAGTTGATTGAAAACTTATATACAATCAAGCATGTACATCTAGGTGGTGTGTTAACGAATAAATCCTTTTGAAGTCTTCTGAGGAGGTAGATCCACACATAGTTAATGGGTATAATTAAAGATATGTATAAAAAATTTTAACCGGTTAACGGTTTATCCGAAAAGAAAATTAAGTAATCTGCCCCGAACCGTTAAGTCGGTAATTATAAAGTCTCAATCCGTTCACAAATCATTATCCCAATAACCCGACATCAATAAGCCAATAAGCCATCGATTCAATTCGATTAATGGTTACGGTCCGATTTTGAACAACCCTAAACTCGTCCAAGTGAGTTGTGAGATCTAAATAAAGAAAAGGGGATGAAAATACAAAATTATCTAACTTGAAGTACTTGATCTTAAATAAGTAAAAGATCTTTCTCCAGTATCATCGTTATCCGTCCCGCAAAACAAACTTAACGGCGACTTAACTGACTTAACGGACTTCAGCAAATTCTTCGGCTTTTTCTCACCATTCTCCTCCTTTGAAGGAGGTGGAAACCGGAACTTGCTTAACCGGCCATCCACCGGTTCGAACCGGTACCCCTTAGTTGAACTTCTCTCCGGAGAAAACGGCATATTGGAACTTAAGTCTACCAATCTTTTACGTACATCATCAGGTAACCTTAGAGTAAACCTTTCGCAATTTTCGCCAGGTTGAATCAGCGAGTGACCCGTCGAGTGAGAACGGCTGAACATCCCAAAAATCTTTGGCCTTCTCGGTGTTGATTTTGGTGCAAGGCGGGCGAAGTTGGGTGTTTCATTTCTTGGTGTAGATTTTGTTGAACAAATATGAACAGGTGTTTGAGAAGACTGCTGATTCATCACTTCTTGTGGACCAGCAGTCACGTGAATATCTATTACTGTATCATTTGTTTCTGGTGATGAAACTGAGCTAACATTCTCAGATTGCTGAATTGTTTCTTGCAGTTTAGCAGAAGGTTTTGTTTTGAGATTTGCACGGCAAACTGGGCAAGTGGTACGAAAGGCAAGCCAAGCATCAATGCACTCAGGATGGAACACGTGGCAACAATTCGGAAGAAGGCGAAGAGTATCTTCATCTTCGAACTCGTTTAAGCAAACAGCACATTCTAGGATAGATTTGCCAATCTTTAGGGCTTTGACATCGGAGTACACAAATACCGGCAAAGTTTCGATGATATTAGGTTCGAGTCCACGGGAAACTGGTCGATGACGGAAGAAGTAAGAACCCATTGGTTCGTCGGGGTTCATGTGACGTATATATAATGTGATGAAAAATGCAACCACGAATAATATGACACAAGCGAGTACTATCGCTAATGCTGGGCTGATTTTAACACTTGAGTACTCCAACGCCGAAGATGATGTTGTCGCTGACACTGTACCAGTTGTGGCCACAGCGTAAAGCAAACACAAGAAGAAATCAAACATGTTATTTCTCATATGCTTCATTTTCCTCAAAAAGTGAAGCGGTAGTGTTAACTTGTAGTGTGAAAAGCAGAGGAGATCGTTAGTTGTAAAGGCAAAAGGTGGATATAATGGGGCTGTTTCTTTTGGATATATTTATAGTGTTGGAATGGCCTACCGCAAATTAAAGGAGAAGAAGTATTAAGTGGCCAGCACGAGAATAATCAATAATGTTTTGACTTTGGAAAGTACTTAATAGGCTTTTAAAGGTTAGGTACTTAAAATAATAAATTTTGAAATTAGTTAAAATATATATCTTCCGGCTTTAAGTTGTGTCTAGAGAGGAGAAGACATGAGCCGAACTATCAAATGTCAATGGAGAGGAGGAATATTCAAGACAAAAACTAGCCGGCCCCCTACTACAAATTTCATAGAAAATGTTAGTCCCTCTGTTTTAATTCATGTGAGTTACTTAGTTAGTTTGATTAGAAATCGTTTTTAAAAATGAAATTGAAATTTGTGCTTTTAGAAATGTTATGATATTTATATGTTTATAAAAGTATAAAACTCAATTGATTATAAAATAAAAGCTAAGGTTATTCAGTAGATATATAAAGAGTGATATCGTGGTTCCCTGCTCTCTTTAAACCCAATGAAAGGATCGGAAGGGTGTCGCCGTTGACTATACCAAAATGTTAGGAATAATATTTAATTGGAACTTAAAAAAAAATCTTAAAATTCAAACTCTTCATCTTTAATAGCTTTTGACCTTCGTCATGTCTTAAGAGGTCGTGAATCTTTTGAATAACAAAATTAAAGATATAAATATGTCCCATCTTTTACGCAAACATAACACCTACCATAAAGTCTTCTTATTTCTATTCTTTAACATAGTCCTTCAACTACTTTCAGCTGTTTCAAATTCAGTCGCGAGATGTTCATGGCATCCCACTCGTGGCAAAAGATTCAGAAGCTTATCTTTGAGTAACAGCTGAACTGGTTTTACTGGTCCATTTTCTGCTCTAGACACAAATTTAACTCCTTACAAAATTAGTTTTTCTATGTACTTGATCTTTAATAAACCTATCCAGTCTCCAAAGAATTTGTGTTAACCCTTTGTTTATCCGTAAAACGGTGCAGTTGAATTTATTACGTGGTTTATAGACAAGCGAACTGATTTGATCCAAAAATGATAAATAAACAAGATTAAAAATAAGACTTAACAATTAAAATTGAAGAAGGTGACAAGCCTGGCTCCGAGAACAGCGTCTCCGAGAACAAAAATGAGAACAAAATAAAAGAACAAATAAAGTTGTTTTAATTGAGAGTGAAAGTGGATATAGCATAAGTTTTACCAAGAACTTCGTGTCTTACAATGGCTACTGAGCCTGCTATTTATAGCTATACTTAGGGAAACAAGATCCTAGGATCAAGCTCCACTTAAATAACAATAAAGGAGCCATTGATGAATATGTAAAGGCAGGACATTAATGCAAATATTCTCCGCAACGGCTGCCCATTTAATGTTAGAGAATATTCTTCATTGAATGTTATCTCATGGCAAACATTCGAACTGCTCCCGTTGACCAGACTCCCTTCGCGGTTTATCCGATACCAACTGCAATTGTTGTTTCCGGTACTGATCTTCGGTTTTACGTGGCATGCTGTCATTCAACCATTTATTACGGACCAATTTTACCCTAAATAGATAGCCCCCCTGCTTTCTGCTAACGTATCTTTGTGTCACCGAAAGTTGGTGAAGATCCCCTTCTTGCCTGGAATTCTCCTGAACAGTCTCTGACGTTGAAAGAACGTACATCTTCTCGCATTTAATATCCCAAACACGTGTTGCCCCACGATTCAACAATATTTTTTGCCGGCTCTCGAGACAATCATGACCACGATTTTTGCAGTCTATATCTTTACTTATACTCATCATTTTACCTTTTTCACTTCCAACATTTTCATAAGTTCATCATATTCTCTGCACTCAACCTCCTCCTGCTTAGAAAACTTTCATCTTTTCTAACTTTCTCTAAAAACTTTACTACCTTTTTACTACCATGGCTTCTTCTAACAAATCTTTTAGAAACTCTGGTCTTCTTTCGGTGGAGGCCCGAAGAGAAACACAGACGAAGAAGCTGATATTTGATCCGAGCCTCCCACTGTAAATACCATCATACCCAAACAACTAAGTACCGCCAATGACTTCGAGGAGAACCTTCCGTTCGCCTCTCCAAAAACTTGGGTTAGCAGGTACCCCTTCTCTATTCTCCCTTCCAGTATTCCTGCTATAAAGTAGAACTGCAACTGCTTAGACCTTAACATCCTTGCTCTGGAAATGATAGAGCGGGTTACCTTCACCAAGAAAGGTTTTACGTATGTCTATACGTATCCCTTCACCTTGGGTCAGTTTTCTTTGGGGACGAGTGCAGGTCTCGACCCCGTAATTTTGGACTTTTTTCACCGGTACCACGTCTGCTAGGCGCAAGTAGTCCCATCTATATGGCGAATGGTGTCTTTCCTATGCCAGTTGTGCACGAAGATTGGGAAAACTCTAACCTTGGCCCAAATGATGAATCTCTACTCCCCCAAAATCTTTCGTGGGGAGTAATAAATTTCAGCAAACATGTCTACCACGCTATCCTCACCAGCGTGGATGATGACAATGATCGGGGGTGGATGGAGGGGTTTGTCATCATTGCCACCAGGGACATTATTTCAGCCACAACTTTGTCTTTTCCCGAGCCGTGGAACCGTTTCCATAAGTTTCTGATTTGTTTCCCTCCTTCTTGACAAAATTATTTTCCGTTATTGTTGATCATTCTTATTTCTTTTATCTCACCTGCCCAGTGGACACCACCACGAGTTCAAGGTCTGGACCAGTGGGTTCAAAAGATTCTGGAAATTATAACACCAGAATCCCGCCAATGGAAGGAAATGGCCCCTAAATATGGGTGGAAGGCCAAGAACCATGGTAAATCGATTCCCCTTTTCCTTTTTACCTTTGTACAATCATAGGTTACTTTATTAAAAAGTTGCTGACTCTGTTTTTCTTTTACTCAATTCAGGACTTCCGCAAGGCTCTGTTACCTGCCCCGAGGTCGACATTTTAACAGACATTGAGGAGGCCAGGAGGGTGCTATAAAGATCCCTTGCCCGAAGTAGTTCCCGTGTACCTGCTTCCAGTGAAGGTGCTTCCTCTTGGAGTCCCAGCCAGAGAACAAGCAACCAAAAAGGCAACATTTTTCTTCGGTTAAGACTAAAAATAAGAAAATAAAGAAGGCCACGACCGATCCGGCCATGGTCACAGTGGTCATTGAAGATGAAGGGGAAGCGAGTGATGAAGAGGCTACCCTTCAAAGGAGGAAAAGATCTTCATCAGCTCCATCGGATGCTCAATTGGGAGAGCTTCAAAACACGATCGCATGTGAGGTCTAAGCACTTTGGGGTGAAATGGAGATAGTAGAGGATGTTGATTCGCTTTCCGACCCCTATTTCTATTTCTGGTCCAAGGAGCTCGAACTCCAAGCCTCTTTTTCCTTCGAACACTGAGCAACCAATAATCAGCATTGCTCCTGCCGCAGCTCCTTCTCAACCTTCTACGCCAACCACTTCACACCCCTCGACACCAATTGTAGCTTTGTCTCCAGCACCCACTACTTCTCCTCCACCGGTAAAAGATGCTCTCTCGAGAGATATTTCTCATCTCTAGTCTCCCGACCACAGGAATTTGGAGTATAATTACTCACCCCCTTCCCCAGATCCCTAAGGGAGGAGAAGTGCTACTTTTTCAGTTTTGAAGGAGTGTCATCTGCTATCCAGGCCGGTAGAACTTGCAAACTACCAGAATGTTGGCTTCAAAGAAAGATAAGAAGAAAATACGCTCCCTTTCGGGGGAATGTTTGTTGAATAACGCCATGCATAGCGCGACAGCGGTACCACACTCGTCCTCTTATAACTTCCTTTCCATTTATCTACTGCAATGAGATTTATAATTTGATATTCCTTTTTTACAGGCCAACTTCCTTGCTTCTGAGGGCCTGTAGAATTTAATCCTCGATAAGCAAGGACTCCCATCCGAGCAGGATCAACTGTTGGGTAAAAGGGACCAACATATAGTGTTGGAGGCAAAGACTACTGAGGCGGGCGAGCTTGAAACCCGGTTGCAGCAAAGTGAACAAGAGATGATGACCCAGAGCCAATAGCTACTTCATTACATGAACAAGTCCAAGAAGCTAAGGCTAAGTGGGCTGAGCTCCAAGATACTGTACTTGCTACTGTTGAACGCGAGTCTGCCTCCGAGGAGCAAGTGAATAACTTGAAGGCAACCTTGTACTCCAAAATCGAGGAAGTCAATGCCGCCGAGGAGATGAGGGCCAAAATGGAAGAAAGGATTAAGAAAATCATGGAGCAAAACCGGATTCACCTATCTACAACTCGTGATCTTGACTTGTGCCTCAGTGTCATGAGATCCGAGAGGGATGACCTTCAGGCCAAGGTCGACAGGATTGAGGCAAAGATCAAGTTTCAAGAGGAATCTCGAGTGTTTGAGAAGATATATTCTATATATCAAATGAGGAGAAAACCCTTGGAAGAGGCCAAAGCGGTCATCGTCGACATTGATGATTGAATCGCCAAGGCCCGAGACCTAGAGCTAACTACTCGAGAACGTATTCCTGCTGCTGCAGTTGATTCTTCAAGTGCCGGTTCCGAGTTCTGGGGGACCGAGAAAGAGATTGAAGAAGATGGGGATGAAGTCCAAGAAATGGTAGTTGATACTCATTCTTCCACCAGGGGAGACACAGTTCCCACTCTACCTTCGGGCTACGGTGGAGACAATGCTTAGAATTTTTCTTTCTTGTTTGTTTTTTTGGTACTTTGTAATTATGCCAGACTTTCATTTAGTTTGGCATTTTGGTAAATGAAAAAGAATTTTTCTTATGCATTGTGCAAATTTATTCATTTTCCGTTGAATTAGATAAATCTTCGGGTATATTTTTATCCAATAACTTCTGATTCTGGGCATAAACTCTTCCAAAATCAACCCTTTACTATGAGGGTTTCATAAGAGAGGGCCCTCTTATGTTTACGGTGCTTTTGAAAAGGACGTG